TATTCCGTACAAGAGTGCGAAGCGACCCAAGAATATGGCAAGAGGCTCCTACCGTATTGCGCAGTCCAAGGATGAACCTAGCATGATTGCGGTGTCGTGGATGGACAACCGTCCCGTACACTTCATCGCCACTGGATGTAGCACCGAACCAGCAACTCTGTCGAGGCGTGAGGGCTCCGCAGTTGTTGATGTCCCAGCACCTCGTCTTGTGAAGGAGTATCAGGACGGCATGGGAGGAGCAGACGTACACGATCAGTTGCGGTTACAGAGATACTCAATTCAGGTCTGTTTTACTCTTATTATTCTTAACCGGTATTATCCAACGATCAACTGACCTACACGTAACTTTTATCCTGTTTTGTACAGGGCGCCATGAAAATGCGGAAATATTACCACACCATCTTTCTTGGACTTGTTGACATGGCTCTGATCAACGCTTTTATCATCTTTCGTCGCGTGCAAGGTGATCGTACAACTGGTCCAGCTCAACCAACCCATGCGCATTTTATGCGAGTAATGCAGATGTCGCTGCTGGCTGTCGGTGCATCCGACTTTGAAGGTGACTTATCGGTTCGCGCGCTCACTGACACGCCTGTACCCCCGTCCCCGACACCGAGATACAGACTATCGACAAGTCATTCAACGAAGCAAGTCGAAGTGTACCGTACGACGCGGGGAAAGAACGGCAAGGAGTCGAGAAAGCGTCGACAGTACGCCTGCAAGGTCTGCTCATTACTGCGACCGGCCAAGAATCCGTGGGAAACTACCTTCTATTGCTTCGAGTGTACCGAGGCAAGATTGGCGGGGACACCCGATGACAGTTCAAGTGCTAAGGGCAAGATCTATCTCTGTCAAAAGGTGCGACAGCACGATCCGACTGCGGCGACAAACTCGGCCACCTGCAGCCAAATTTGGCACGAGCTTTGGGGAGGTGGCGCTAACATTCCACCTGGGCTCAAGTCGATCAGGCTGCGTGCTCCAGTAGACCAAGGAGCACAGGCATCCGACGGACACGACGATGTTTCCAGTGTTAGCTCGGGTGCCAGGTCGGGTAGTGATGGAGGATCGCCAGCTGAGGGTATTGTGGAGCCCGCAGTGATCTAATCAAATGAATGCATGTATACTTGTGAATGATGATATTTGTAAATTTAGACTTTTTTCTCTACGATTACATGTGCTGTTGTCGGCGAATACAGGATACAGCATCACTGGTGTGAAAATTACACTGTACCGCACACTGTAGATAGCTATCAAAGATTGTGATCTTCACAATCCTGAAAAAAACTCCGCAATAGTTAACACAAGTCATTTCGTTATCCTGTACAATACAGGTTAACTTGGGCCCAGAAACGCGGGGCTAGAGGGGTTAAGTAGCTGATGGCGGTTATCTATTCTCTCTTGGTAGGTGCAATAGATTACATTACAATTTTCGGCAGCCCTGGGGGGGGGGGGGGGGGTCAGCTGTCGTCTTAGCTGAAGGTTCTCACAATGTCATGTCGATTTAGGTTAGAGATACTACCGAGAAGGCCTTTCCAGTGTAAATTATAGTATGACTGAGGTCTCTAATGATCTACTTCTACGGAAAATGTCGTACAAAAGCGCGAAGATCATGTTCACTTTTGTGGAAGGCGTTTGTATAAAAAGCATGATGCTTCATACTTAGTGCTTGCGGTTTATTGTATCCTAGAAATCATTCCCACCAAGGATCGAATCCATAAGATTTTCCTCCTCGTTGCTAAGTACTGAAGCACGTGCTTGAGAGCTCGCAGATAGCTCTTCGTTATGTGGCGTGAATTGCAGTCGGCCAATGCCCACAGGTGCACTGTGAAGCAACCGCCTCGATGCAAATTCTCCAGGCCCACCAAATGTCACGGGCGGTAAGCCGGAGCCTCCAATAGCCACAGGTGCCGATACCTCCACCGCAGTAGCATGCACAGTTTGCGGGCGCTCTGCACCACCAGACCCCACGCCATCAACGAAACTCTTCTCAAGTTCCTTGAGCGTCACGGGCTTGACATCTTGAAGCCGAGCCAGCACGAATTCCCGGCCAAGAAGTCGTTGAGCACTCAGTGCAACATCTGCAGCCGAGCGGCGAACACGAGCACTGCTGTGTGTCAAGCCCTTGCTAACCGCATCAAGTACACGCGATGCTCCTAATCCATCAGCCTGGAATCCAAACTCCGGTACTAAAAGACGGAGCAAGTGCATTTGAACCTGTGGGTCACACGCGCTGTTGCCTTCGCCATTAAACACACAAGAGAGCACATATCGAAGCGGGTGACGGGCGTTAGGAAGCCTTGCCAGCTTGAGAACTCCACGACACGCAGCACGAGTCGTCCGAGTGTTTGGCTTCTGCATCGCTGCCAGCAACCGCAGCAAAGTCAGTAACGTCACATCACGCACATCCGCCCCACGCCATTCAATACGAGGACCATAGATCTTGACGAGCGTCGCGTAGGCATCCAACGCAGTGTTCAGAACAGGCGCAATGCTGTCTCCAAGTGCACGGTGTAACAGCGCACTGTACGCCACAAACGTGCTCTGAGTAGAGCTCCCGAATGTCGGTCGAGTGTCCCGCAAGTCTGACTTGGCTTCAATCATAGCTTTCTCGACGTCTAGTAGAGCCTCCTTTCTGTCGCTCCACGTCTTACTCGAGAGCTTTCGCCAGCACACAGGACCTACGATATTCTGTGCATTTAACAGCGAAGTCTCGAGCAGTTTAATGCTCGACTGAGCGTCTTCCTGAGGAACGTCCACCAGTTCTGCAGGAGGAAAAGCAGCCTCGTCATCAACGTGCTCTTCGGCCTGGTTTATAGCAGCACTGCCTGTCACTGCTTCCTCCGCGATGGCTGCTTGTTGCTGCTCACGCTTAGTCACCAACTCGTCAACACGACGAGTGATTACACGGAGCATTTCCGGTTTGACTGCTCCAGCCCGAGCGAGCTGGGCCTGCCAATCTGTCGAATTCCCAGTCCGAGTCTGAAGATCTGCTAGAATCTCGACCGCGACTTTGCGAGTTTTCTCCTCTGCGATCTTAAGACTTGGTGCTACAAACTCGAGCACACTCTCCACGGTCAATTTCTGCTGAGATGAGGAGTCAGCCGCGGTTGTAAGACCGAATTCCTGCATCAAACGACGTAGCGTTTCAAGCTTTCGACGAGGTGGAACTTCCCGTCCACTTAAATGCAGTAACAAGTGGGGAAGCGCTCGCAAGGATCGAAGTCGAGCGATACGAACCAGCGCCTGTGTAGCCTCACGCTGCGTTCGCTTGTTGGAGTCTCCTAACTTCTTGACTAGAGCACCCACCAGAGTTGACAATTGAGTGTTAAGAACTGCAACGCTCTTCGATTCAGTGTCGACACGTTCGTCGGGAAGGACACGAGCAAATTCCTTGAGAATTGCACGGAAACACTCGAGTGCGCAATACATGACAGGGGCAACTCGGTCCTCCACACCGCATTGTGCAGCTGCAAGGGAAGCGCAGAGTAAGCGCTGCCGTGTAACTGGGTCGGCAGTAGAGACGTTGGCCTGCTTCACTGCTAGCTTAATAGCATCGAAACCATCTTGTCGGTCACCCCATGGATCGGCGGCCAATAAGTTCACAATCCTCTCACCGAAAGCGTGGGTGATTAACGCTCCTGTATCCACAGTCTTTGACTCTGGTTCGACGTCTTCATGGACTTGTTGCTCGACTCGGGGCTCCTCTTCAAACGTACTTGCGCTAGGCTCGTCAACTTGTGGGGAGTACGGAGCTGAAGATGAAGACAAGATTGGTGTTTCAAAAAGAAGATGGCGTCGGCCTCCAAAACTCCGTAGTGGAGGGTGATCGGAGTTATCGTCTTCTTCACGAATCTCGTGAAGAGGAGGGTGAGGCAAGGTGCTACCTTGCGAGGCTATTGAACTCATCATGTCAACGCCAGGTCCAGGACGAACACGTTTCATTGGAGACGATAGTGGTTCATTAACACGTGGTGTTGCAAGTTCAGTATCCAGAGGTTCTTCCTCTTCCTCACAAACATCGTCACACGGAGTATGATTTTGCAGCGCCGGTGGAGTAACCCCGATGATCATTAGATCGACATTCTGCAGCGTTCCTGAAGGATCCATTGGATAGCTATCAAATGCTTCGTCGTGGCATTTATCTTCTTCATCGCCATCTTCAGGAACGCAAGAAGAAGCTTCTAGCTGCTGATTTCCTTCACCATTGTCGAACACTTCTAGCGTATCGTCTTCGTTTTCCTCGGGTGTCTCTGTAAGCAGTTCTTCTGGGATATCTCCAGTCTCCTCTGTTTCGTGAGAAGCGGTCGTTTCTGTTTTATCCTGTTCATCTTCTTCATCGACATTGTCTTCCTCGATCTGTTCTGATGTTTCAATGCATTTCTGGTTGTACTCCTCGAGACATTGCATCACACTGATGGTACTATCTGTCTCAAGTTCATTGGTAACGCTCTTTAAAGCAGGCACCGACTCGTCAAATTGCAGCACCGAGATCAATTGATCATCTCGTGAGGGGCCCTTGACTTTTACTTCATCGTTTTGCGATTGATGCTGCTCAGGACTTAAGTCCTCCTTGTCCGTATTGTTCTCCTCCTGCTCAATCTGCTGCTGATCTGGGATTTCAGGCTCGGCTTTGATCAAATCCTTTGGTGTTGGTGAAGCCACAGCTGCTTGCTTCTGAAGACCAAAGTTTTTCACCAACCTGCTCTTAATCCTGCCAAGTAGACCTTTCTTCCGAGCTGGAACAGTATCTGTGTCATCAGTTGCTGCGTTCGAATTGTTGTCAACGCTAGTTGGAGTCATAAGTGTCGGTCCAGGCATTTTCCCCAACTTTCTCCGATGTACTGTAGTGCGGTAGCTGTCTTCGTGTTGGTTGCCGATCGCTAAAAATGAGCGTGTGTCGCGGCGGCAAGTATTTTGTTGATTTAGGTTTTCATTGTCCAAAATAGGATAAGTGGCGTCGGAGCGAAACGGATTCCATTCTTTCAACCGCTTAAAAAAGATGACACCACTGTTTTTTTTTGTCAGCGCGTCTGCATCAAGCTTCCATGTATTTCTGGTAAAGTGCTTTTCAACGCGATCAATATTCTGCTATTTGTAGGAAATTTCCTAGATAAGCGCACGGCAAATATTAGCGGGAGTCTCGACTCCACATTCAAGCGTTCCAAGAGTAGTGATGGCAGACGGCACTCCAGTGCCTGTCATCTCGACGCTTGAGGATGCCAGTGCCTTGCTGGACAAACTTCGCACACTCACTTCCAACATCAGCGAAGCAGCAGCGAGCCCAACGCTAAAGACCGAGCAAGACTACATCGCTGGAGTGGTGCCGCAGCTCGATGAGGCTACTGGCACGTACCAAGGTCTTGCCACTTTCCTACGCGAACACAAGCGCGGGAAAGCTGAAACCAGCGGCTTCCGTGACGTACAACGAGCTTTCGTCAAAGTGATGCAGGATTTGCAGAGTGCTCAACGCCAAGCTGCTGCACGTCGTGAAGCGCTGTGTGACGCTGACTTCCTGGCGGGCAACGGGTCTGTAGCCATCTCGGCGCAGGAGATCCAGACTGCAAAGGAAGAAGTGCTCGAAGCTGGCGAGATCGCACAAGAAGCAGCAGCCGTCAACGCACTATTCCGCCAAGTTGGAACTCTAGTCAGTGAACAAGGTCACGGCGTGGACCAGATTGTCACCAAAGTGGAAGCAGTTCGAGTCGAAATCGGCAAGGGCGTCGACGAGTTGCAGCACGCGCGTCAACTACAGCGCGAAGCCCGGCAAAAGTACCTCTGGTATCTCTGTCTATTCGTACTGATCCTCGCTGCAATCATCATCCCTCTCGTGTTCGCACTCAAGTAACCACAAAAAGGCAACTTCAACTTGCCTTTATGGCTACAAACCACTGCCTTATAGAGCCACTACGTATATCTAGCGTCACATCTAAACAGCACACCGGCATATTACATAAACCACACATCATAAAACATCTATCATTTCGATACATTTATACTCTGCATTAGTATGCTCTTGACCTACTGTCCGACCGTTAGATTTGCCGCCAGCGAGAGATCCAATCTGAAATCTCCCGTCAAAGCCGCCAGGAGTAGCTCCCCGTACTTATCGCCCCAATGCCCGAGATGTCCGCCCCCGCCGCCCACGAGGACGAGACGATTCCGTCGCCGTCCACCGTGGGCAACACGTTCATGCGTCAGTACTACCACTTCCTGGCCAAGGAGCCGCAGAGTCTGCACCGCTTCTACAAGGCTGAAAGTCGGTGGTGCCATGGCCTGGGCTCGCACATGGAGGAGCCCATTGCTGGTCAGCGCGCAATCAACGACCAGATCCTCAAGCGTGGCTATGCCGGCGCTCGTGTGGACTTGGACGCCGGCTCCATTGACTGCCAGAACTCGCACGGTGGCGGTGTGCTTGTGCTGGTCACGGGCGTCATGACGCTGCGCAGCAGTCCGACGCCCAAGCCGTTCGTGCAGACCTTCTTCTTGGCTGTGCAGCCCAAGGGCTACTTTGTGCTGAATGATTGTCTGCGTTTCCTTGAACTGCCTGGCGCGGCGCCCGTCGAGGTTGCGCCTGAGGTTAAGGAAAAGGAGAACGGCAAGACGGAGACTCCCATGTCGCCTGTGAAGGAGGAGACGCGTGTGTCTGCGTCGCCTAAGAAGGTAGCGTCGCCTGTTAAGACGGTGAAGACTACGACCACCAAGGTGGTGAAGGAAGCTGCTCCTGCGTCGCCAGTTAAGGCCACGGCTACTGTTGCCTCCTCTCCGGTTAAGAAGACCACGACTACTACCACTACGACTACGACAACAAAGGAGGTTGAGACTCCTGCTGTTAAGACGCCATCGCCGGTTAAATCCCCGGTTAAATCGCCGGAGAAGTCCCCTAAGAAGCAGGATAAGGCACCGACTCCTGCGTCGCCCGCTGCTGCTCCCGCGGATCCCGTGGTGGCTACCCCAGCGGAGCCGGAGAAGCCCAAGACGTGGGCTGCGCTGTTCTCGGGCTCCAAGCCTGCCAGTATCACGCCCACTGCGCCAGTTTCGGCTCCTGTGAAGCCCTCGACCCCCAAGGCTGCTCCTGCCCCCGCTCCGACGTCGATTACTCCGGCTACGAATACCCCAGCGCCCGAGAAATCGCCAAAGAGCAAGGCTGGAAACGGCAAGGAGAAGGAACACAAGCGTCTGTACAGTTTGTTCATCCGGGACGTGCCGGCCCAGACCCGTGAGAGCGACCTGCGCGAGCTGTTCAAGGGCTACGGATCCATCGCCGGAGTGAGCGTCGTGGCTCAGCGTGGCTTCGCGTTCGTGGACTACTACGAGCAGGAGAGCATGCGTGCGGCTCTGGCAGAGACCAAGGAGTTCAAGGTGTTTGACAAGGTTCTCCAGGTGGACGAGCGTGCTGAACGCAAGGAAGGACAGCGTGGCAGCTTCCGTGGCAACGATACGCGTGGACGTGGACGTGGCCACGGCCCCAAGAGCGGCCGTGGTGAGCGGAAGGAGCGTAACGGAGACGAGGCCCCTTCGTCTAACAAGGGCGAGCGACGTGATGCTCCGCGTCGCGAGAAGACGGGCAACCGCCGTGGTGGCAAGGTGGACGCCACGTCGCTCAACCGGGCGGAATAGAGCGGTATATTATGTGCAGCAGCCAACTTGTAGGACACCAGCGGTGAAGCTCGCAAGCTACCAGCTTTCAGATCATCAAGGGTACATACACATGGGGAGAGTCGACGAAACCTGTTACGATCGGTATCCGGCAAGCAACGCACTAGGTAGGCAGACAAACACAAGACACAAAATGAGCAGAGGAGATACAAGAGAAGAAATCTCCTGTCGGCTCGATAGGGTAGAACAGCTAGCAGAGGAGCTTGGTAAACAGAAATGATACGAAACCAACTCCGCTGTGAACTTTTGGCACCGGAACTCTGGGCCTTGACTTTATATCGCGTGACACTGTATGAAGAAGCTCTGTACTAAGCATCGAGAATCTGTCCGAATCATTTTGTAGTTAAGTGCTACAACATAATTCCGGGTCTTGGCAACTACTCTTCAGAACTACACGACATCTCGTATTCATCTTTCACTATGAACTCGTTCCGCCTGAATATGCCTCCAAGACCAAGTGACTCCTTCAGCGTGCTATCACGACCAACTTTGCTCGGGAGAATGACGTATGAATGCCCCTTACTTGTTTTCGGTAACTCGCCACCATGGATGCGACGATTTGTCAGCTGATTGAGGTCCCAGAGCGCCTCCTATTCACTTTTGCTGAAGATATCGGGCAACGGTGCACAGACCGCGACGAACTTCCACGAGGGCTTGTCGGAGTGAAAACGAGCTGAAGACATCACCCATGGTCGGATTGCCATACTTGCAGGGAAAGATATACGATTCAGCGAGTTTCATCGCCACCACATCTAAAAGTTTGCGGCACGAAACTTCGGTGCTCATTTTCTTGTACTGCATTTGCTTCTTGGCAGACCCAGCTTCCAGCGTATTTGGCGAAACTACCAGCACGTGAAGTTCACCCTCACCCGGCTGATAATCCTCTCCGAACTACTTGTTATTCTTAAGATAGAGCATTGTCTTTATGTACTCAAAGCCTTGCAGTGTCCATGCTCATCACAGCTTGCGGTTGCCGCGTCATTCTCGTCAAGCCACACATCGCCCACCTCCGTTTTTTTCTTAGCCAGGAATAGGTGCATGTCGCTGACTTCAGTTTGTCCGTCATATTCTTGATCGCCATCTTTAAATCCTCCACCGTGCTGTCTACGGGAATTTCGACCGAAAAGGGGCTTCCCCCGTCACCAACGATCGCACAAAAGAGCTTCACCATCTCGATTCTGGAGTGACGAAGAAACATTCCCATTGTTCCAAATACTGCAAAGCTTGGTTCGAGCTAAGGGGGGCAGGTTTCATCCCCTTCTTCTTGCTCTTCAGCACCTCAAACAGAATTGCGGTGATATGCTACCAGAGTGGGGTATTTTGCTTTCATAACCTTGTTATTTCTAGCTGTCACCCTTCTGCTTCCTAGACAGATGGACGGTGCGATCTGAATGGAAGAGTTTGGCATGTGTGGGTATTAGATAATAGAAGAGGTTGAGCTGAGGGGATAAGTTGTGAAACTACCAGATAAGCTAGATCACTTTTGGATTTAATTTTGTGGAAGGGTTGCCCAATATGAAGCAAGCTCTGTCAGCAGATAGAAAGTGAAGTTGGGAGGTCAACATAGGGCCCTTTAAGCTGAAACGTTGGTGTCGGTTGAAAACAGTTTTTGGTGTTTCATTTGGGCAGTTGCCAGGCTATTTGAAAATGAAATGAGCACAGGTGGCTACCTACTATCAAGCTTATTCCTCATTCAACAGTCGACAGCTCACGTTCATCTTTCACTTCACGAATGAATGCAGCTCCTACACCGAGCGACGCTGCGACACTCTGTAGCATTTTCACGCCAGAGAGAATGATGTATGGATATCCTTTACTCGTTTTCGGTATCTCTTCATCACGACCATAGCGAGTTGTACTCCAATTGAGCCTCCAGAGCGTCGTCCATTCATTGTGGTCGAAGAACATGGGCAGCGGTGTTTTCGCCAACCGCTTCCGATTTTTTTTAATCGAAACTCCCATGAGGGATTTTCAATTACGCGAAAGACATCTTTCATGACAGGGAAATTAATACCTAGCTTGCAGTGAAACTCGTACAAGCCGGCGAGTTTTTTTGCCACCAAATTCAAGAACTTGGGTGACGAAGTTTGAGTGCTCGCACCGCTGAATCGCCAATGCTTCTTAATAGAAATGGGTCCCTCCTGATTCGGTGCCACCACTAGCACGTGAAGTTGGCCCTCACCCGGTTGGAAACCCTCCCCGAAATATTTGGCATTTCTAAGATAGAGCATTGACTTCCTGTGCTCAAAGCCTTGCGGGTGTCCGTGCTCATCACAGGTCACAGCCGCCGCTTCATTCTCAAATAATTTCAATCACCGACTCGTGGGGTTTTCCAGGAAATAATCTCGGATGCGGTTTGTAATGAAAGGTTTCTAAAGACAAACATAAAATTTAATTCTCAGTAATTATTTTTATATTTATTTCCGAGTTTTTATGAGGCCTCTGAATGAGTATGTACGACTTAACGACTAACCAACATCCTTTTAGTACCATTTTCGATTCGTTGTTTCTGATCACTATACACAGTACAAATTCCAGGTGGAACGAAGTCAGAGAAAGCTTATATCTGCAAAAGTGATTTTATTTGTGAGTGTTGCCTGTGTCGACATCCGTGCCACCTCAAGCTGAACGCGAGATTCTAGCGTGAATATTACGATAACACGCTTGATGGATTCGTTGTTTTGTCAGTCAAGTCTCCAACGCGATTGACAGAAAGGTAATTGATGTTTTGTATTCTACTCCCCCTGCACACATTCCGCATCTTTGAGTAAGTCGGTGGTGGTCTTTCCTTTGTCAAACTAGCTGATGCAACAGAATTGGCTCGGCGTCACTAGCTCACTACGGATATCATCTCCGGAAGCACGGCCATGGCTAAAATGATGCCATCTCCACCAATCACGCTCATCTGTAATATAAGACAACCACGGCTACAAGAGCTACAGTGACGACAACTACGACCTCAGCGATCTCTATAATAGTACTGATGCCGACGACAACGGATATCAACCCGAATGCTTATGGACCAACGGTAATAAATAGTAGCCGGACTAATATTTATATTAATACTCATCGATTGACAACCGCTATGGCTTTCAAATTACGCCTCCGCATACCTCGACTGAGTCTGCCTCTTCGAATCTTGTTCTTGATAGAGTCGGTGATCGTGCCCGATGGTGCCTAGAACGTCAAACCAGTCGAGGACCAGAGCAGGACAGAATCAAAAGCGAAGGGTGTGTGAAAGGCAATCACCACCGACAACTGAAAGGTAAGGATGAATATAGTGCTCTTTCCGGCAGATAGTTCTACAGATTTGCTCCGTTGCTACTCAATTGTGAATATTAGCCTATCATATCTCGTCTCTCCTGAGTTTGAGCCACTGATTTTGTTAGGCTAGGTGTACAGCTTCCGACGCTTTCCGACAAATATTTGTCGGAAGCTCAGCCAAAATATGTATATCTCGATACAAACATGAAGTCAAAAAATGTTCTGAACATATTCAAACGGTTCTTACAAATCCGAGAGTAGGAGAGGTGAAAAGGACGTTGGTAGACAGCCACTTTCAAAAAGAGAAAAGACACGCACATGAGCCTCTCAGCTTCTGTACCAACAAACACGCAAAAGGTACGCGCCACCGCTATCAGCGTGTTCAAGCAAATGCTGGAGCTTGAGGTTGTTAGCATGGAATTTGTCCACGCTAGCATTCTCAAAGACGATTCTGGCAAACGTCTTGCCGCAGCAATGAATCGATTCGGCTATTATCTTCCCACAAATGAAGGTAAGAACGGTAAACTAGCACGTAACAATGCGTCTTCGTACTATAGGAATGTGAAACTTTGGCTATTCGACTCGTACCCGCACTTACGTGTTGCTACTGAATTGATAATGTTAAAGCAAGGTAAACTCGTAAAAGGCCTTCCCCGTGCCTGGTGCCCTTCCGCTGTTGGGACCACGAAGATTCATAACACCTGGTAGCTTTG